AACTGGAAAATTAAATGATAAAAGTCCGATGTATAATGTGCTCATAAATATCTTGGCAATGCGTGCACGGAGCGATGCTGCGTCGTCGTGGAGGCCACTGCCGACTGTGCAATCGGTAACAGATTCCAACTGGTCTGTGGTGGTGTCATCAGTGACACATCGCTACGGGAAGAATATTTATAAATTTTAAGTTATATATTCTGGCAATATTTGGATATCAGGAGTACGTACCATTTTAGTGTTCTGCGATGCTTTTGTAAATGATGACTTTACTGTTTTTATATGTACACATGTATTTTTCTGAATTTTATGATCCTTAAATGTACCCACCCATTTCGCCTAACTTTTAATTTGTGTTGCTCAGTGGTGTTGCAGTTTTTCAGAAATAAGAACCCAGTGTCGTGCCAATTTGTAGTTTCGCTAAAGTTAGTTTTAGGTAAATTTAGTATATTAATTGAATTTATTACCCATTGCTCTGTAAATGGTGTATACTGTTGGGCAATATATGCTTTATTACTATTATTATTATTATCTCTGTCAGAATTGATGAAATCCCATTTCAAAAAGAGTCAGGAGAAAATACGATTTCGGGAAAATTCTTTTTAATTCTGACATTCTGAAAATATCCGAATTACAAAACTTTCTAAGTGCCACTTTCATAGTTACCTAAATGCACAACTTTACCCCATAACCCTACCTCTTACCGAGGTCCGAGTTTTGAATATCTTTCAAAAATTGATTAACTGCGGACCAACGGGCAAACGAAAAAGTTGAAAAATCTCCGTTTTCAACGTTCCAGTCCGTGATAGATTTTGACGTTTCACAGTTTTAAGAACAGTTCAAAACGGAAACCTTTATTATTTCATTGTGACATATTTTTGGGTGCGGTGTATAGATTACGCTTAAACTATTAAAGTCAATCTAATTCTCACGCATTTAGTAAATAGTTTTTTCATTATCCATTCTCAAATCCCTACCTAGGTGATTTAAAAAATCACAAGAAGTGAAAAATCTGTACAAATGGGACAAAGATTCGGGATGATTTCGGAATTGCACTCCTAAATACACTTTTGAATGCAGACATTTCAATGCCTTCTCGATTGTACATATAGTAGGAAATTACAAGAACTTATAACGCGGCTTCAAACATTAATGATTACTGTAACGGAACCATGTTTTAAAAAAATTATAACCTTTTAGAATTCTTAATTGCGCGAAAGATTCCCTTAATTTTGGGTGTGACAGATAAATTGATTTTTAAAGTACTCAAGTCTTTGCCGACTGGATTATCTCCTCCGACTCGTTTCGTATCGAGATAAGACAATCTTAAGTTACCATCTGATGCCATCTAAATATTTTTTTATTTAGCTAAAAGGAATCAAAGAGAGAAATCTAGCCAAAAGATATACTATCGGTTTTTCTCCAGTAGATGCTGCCAGCGTTGTTGAGTTGCAGGCATCTGTAATTTGAGAGTGAATGTTGAAATCTGTATAACAAATATATACTTATGTTTTTCACCAATAGATGGCAAAGGGCACAACACAAGTGACTGAGTCCAGTGTAACTTATGTCACAGACAGTGTACTAAGTCTACCGTTTTTCGGTAGACCGATTTTGGTCCTAGCCACCAAACAACCGATTTTAAAGCAAAATCTACCGGAAAGTGGACTTTTTTCAAATGAATAATTTTTGTTCCCTAAATAAGAGAAATATTTCTGATGCATAGCGTTAAAAAGAATGACAAAAGTACTATTATTATTCGTAATAGACCAGAAATATTTTTATTCTCTTTGCCTGACATTGGTGTGCCACATACGTTGATTCTCCGCATCTGGGAATCACCGAAGATACTCGATGATTTGGCTGCATCGCCTAGGCCTAGCGGCTCGTAGCAAGTCTATGCCTGTATTGTACGATTTGTATGACTTCGTGTACTTAGTAATTCCGAATTCGGTCGATCTCTGCCTCTGAGCTGGAAAAAAGAAGACTATCGACGACTTCCTCTCTGACAAGAGACCTGGAGGCTATCACTGCTTGGGGACGCAACAATCTTGTACAGTTCAATGCTTCCAAATCACAGTACTGTACTTTGACGAACAAAAAGCGTCCTAGCGCTCATCCGGTTTCGATGGATGGCCGAGTTCTGTCAAAGAGCCATTCATTCCGGCTGTCGGAGTCCAGATCACCGAGGACCTGATTTGGCACGAACACATCTCGTCAATAGCTGCAGCTGCTGGGAAAAAACTAGGCTATTTGTTTAGGGCTAAAAAGTACCTTTCTCCGCATGACCTTCTTACTCTATACAAGGCCCAGATAAGGCCTAGCCTCGAGTATTGCTCACACATTTGAGGTGCTACCCCGACTACATTATTTATGCCCGATGTTGACCAGAAGAGGGCTGTCCGTCTGATCGATGACTCTTCTCTAACAGACAGTCTCGGGACTCTTTCGCACCGGCGGGCCGTCGGCGATCTAGCCCTTTTCTACCGCTACACCAACAGGCTTTGCTCCTCAGAGCTCTCTCTTATGATGCCGCCGCGCGATGTGCCTGTCAGACAGACCCGCCTGACTTTGGCGTCCCATCCTAACCGTGTCGAACTTCGTACATCCAGAACTGGCCGATACGACCGCTCCTTTGTCCCGAGGGTGTCGAGATTGTGGAACAATCTATAAGAGGAAGCTTTTCCCAGTTCTACTAACCTTAGGCAGTTCAAAAATCGTATTAACAAAATTTCTTTGGGATCATCATAGCAGCCGCGGTGTTCCGGCATTTAGGCTTCTGCATGCGCGGCTGCATCGATATATAA